ATTTTGTCACTTGCTCAAAATAACTGTGTAAGCCTTGAGCGTTTGAGCAGCTTTCTTCTCCCTGAAGGGCACTGGGGATGGCTGGCTGTTTTTCTACTGGCTAAGGAAAGAGCTGTCTGATGTTATCTCACCGCATATCCCCTCCAAAGTCTTCTTGATGACCCTTCTGTTGTACAGGATTTGGGCCGAAGAGGATCAGATAAACACTTCAGAGGAATCTGCATCTGACATCCCTCTCCTGGATACTACTGTTCTCTGCTTCTGTGGCCCTACAGTTCCGTCATCACTATGAGATGGACATTTTAATTCCTTTGTCTCTTTGGAGAGAAAAGTCATTTTAGGCTCATAGAATTTGAGCTGCAAACAGATTTGCTTTTTTCAGGCATAGTCATGGCACCACAGACCTGCTCTGGGCTGTCACGGCAGACTCCAATTCTGTGGCAATTATGCTAAACCCTTGGGGAGAAGATAGAAATGGCAAAATAAGAGATGTCTCAGCAGAAATCTCTTTAAGAAACCCATAGCACAAACCCACTTATCTTGTGAGATTGTTTCCTAAGTGACTGAGGAGATTTGTTCTCTTTGGCCTGGTTGATGCAGGAACACATTGCAGGACAAAATGAAGAACCAGGAGCAGCTCCCAGAGAACCAAGGACAGAAGATGGTAGATAACATGTGTGGGAAGAGCTGAAGAACCATGACAGCCACCTGGGGTCAGAGGAGCCTGCATGGTGTCAACACCCAACAGGAACAACAAACAAGACAAAGATGGTTTTGTTGCTGCTGTTGTGATGGGATTGTCCTCTCTCAAGGGAAAAACAAATTCAAAGCACTCGGCCCCCTTTCTCTCTCTTCTCTATAAGAGGGAAAGGCTTCAAGTTATAGTAATTCTTTTTAAACTCCTAAGAGGTCGGGGAAGAGACCAGATTTGAGTGATTTGCCACATTCACACAGCCACTAGTTTTTATTTTTATTTATTTATTTTTTTGCCACTAGTTTTTAGAGTCAATTTTCAAAGGCAGATCTCTCAAATTCCAAGGCCTCAAGTCTTTTCACTCGATCAGGTGGACCTCAGCAGAAGTTACTGGGCTAGGTAAGTGTGGTACAGGTGTCCCACTTCTGTAGGAATTCAATAGGCCGGCCCAAAGATTGCATCTGCAGCTTCTCCCAAGTTTTTGTGGTTTACTCAAGACACACAGAAGCTGAGCTTTATTTGACTGCCACCTAGTGGTCACTTCTTTATGGGAGCCAAGTAATGGTTCCTTTCCCCTGTTTGTGGACTGAAAAGCCATGAAAATCACTTAAGTTTGCAAAGATGTACACTAAGAGAGAATGTTCCCTATAATCTTATGTGTGACCACATCACGCAAAGAAATCTAGAGGGATCCCTGGGTGGCTCAGTGGTTTAGCACCTGCCTTTGGCCCAGGGCGTGATCCTGGAGTCACGGTTATTGAGTCCCATGTCAGGCTCCCTGCGTGGAGCCGGCTTCTCCCTCTGCCTGTGTCTCTGCCCCTCTATCATGAAGAAATAAATAAAATCTTAAAAAAAAAAAAAAAGGAGAAGAAATCTAGAGACTGTGGGACCACTGAAAATGGACTTTGTAAAGTTATGTTGTGTAACTCCCTCACTGATGGAAAAATTTGATACTCAGGTAATATACAGGATTGCAAAGGATGAAAGAACTTCTAAAAGAATTTCCCAATTCAAACTCCTTTCCTATATGTTATCTACATAGGGCTCGTATCTCATCAAGAACACAGGCTTTAGGGATCCCTGGGTGGCGCAGCGGTTTGGCGCCTGCCTTTGGCCCAGGGCGCGATCCTGGAGACCCGGGATCGAGTCCCACATCAGGCTCCCGGTGCATGGAGCCTGCTTCTCCCTCTGCCTATGTCTCTGCCTCTCTCTCTCTCTCTCTCTCTCTGTGACTATCATAAATAAATTAAAAAAAAAAAAAAAGAGCACAGGCTTTAAAACCTGTCTGGGTTTAGCTCCATCCCCATTAGCCCAACAGCCTCACCCAAGCTGCTTAGCCTCTCAAGCCTGTTTCCTCACCTGTCAGGTAACATTCGTGCCTATTACATAAAGTTGGCTGAGACAGATTATCATTACCTGCAACAGCGCTTGGGACACAGTAAGCACAATACAAACATTAGCTATCAGTATTTGACTTGATGCCTGTTTTTGGGTTTTTTTTTTTTAATATTTTATTTATTTATGAGAAACGCAGAGAGGCAGAGGCATAGGCAGCGGGAGAAGCAGGCTCCCTGCAGGAAGCCCGATGGGGAACTCAGTCCCAGGACCCTGGGATCACGACCATAGCCAAAGGTAGCTCAACCACCGAAACACCCAGGCATCCCATGATGCCTTAAAAAAAAAAAAAAAAAAAAAAAAAAAAGAAGCTAAATTTACTGTTAAGCTTAGGATAATTCAACTGAGCACTTAGGGGTGGCACTGGGATTTTTATTTGCAGGATCAAGTCTTTGCTTTAGGGCATTTTACACATCTGAAAACAGCACAAGCATCCAAAAAAGGTACTTGTGTGTAGGGTGCCTGATAACTCAACTTTGAAAGGTGTCAGTTACTTGCTGACAGCACAGGGACGAGTGGGAGGGGGCAGACTGGAGCTTTAATTTCCTGCGCTAAATCAACACCCTCTCCTCAGAGCTGTTTTCCTTCCTAAGAGCATGTCTCCCTCCTCTTGGGTTTTTAGCCTTCAAATTAAAGAGTTACAGTTACTGTGGCTTCTTTTTCAGGCCCATGAACCCTGCCATTCTGTTGTACAGGATTTGGCTGTAAGATGATCTGATAAACATTTCAGGACTCTGCATCTGGGGAGGCTTTTATGACCATCCTCAGGTTGCCATTTTGTTCCAAATCTCAAAGCACTTGGGAGGTGTTTTTTTTTTTTTAATTATTATAAATTGTAGTTGTTTCCTTATTGGAGAGTGATGTTTTTACATCTTTTTTTTAATCTGTTAAGTCTGTTTTGCATACTATTTGTTTTTAGTCACTTTCAATGGAGGTGAGGAGTAAAAATGTCATTACTCTGTCAAATCAGATTATAGGTGCATTCTGTTCAATTAATGTTTTAAGAAGTTATAAAAGTACACTATACTATGAAATGCTAAATGATTTTCTTTATTGAAGAATTAAGTTAGTACATTTTTTAAAAATAAGTTTTACTTTTAATAACTTTATTCACACAATTTTTTAGGAACTGAAACGTAGCTAATAGAAAACACTTAAAACCTGATAGGAAAGAATACCACCCAATAGTTGCAAAATGGAACCCATAACACCTTCTTTGATAGAAAAGATTATTAGCTCTATACAAAAAATATTGACACCTATTTTTAAATTTATTTTCCTTATATACAAGCATATTCACAACACAGGTGTTAGTGGAAAAATAAAAGCAAGTGTTTAGGATTCAGAAACAAACTTTAACGCCAAGACCCAGTCTACTCTCTAAATCTTTTTTTTTTTTTTTTTTTTTTACTTTCTAAATCTAAATTGGCAGATAAGGCCAAACAGATTTCATGAGTTAAACTGCTTTTATTTCCTCGAATAAGACTAAATCTGCAAATTGTACTTCATATAAAAGTATGCACACCTGCACAGGGATTATAATGTCCAACGGTCCTTCAATGTCCCTTTAAATACTAAAAATCTCTAATCCAAAAACAATGATGTAGTTTTGGAATTTTGGTTGAGGTTCCGGAGTCCACAGTCAAGAAAATATTCTTGAGCCATCTTTGGTGCAAAATGTGGTTTTATTAAAGCACAGAGACAGGAGGAGTGGGGAGGAGCTGCTGCCCCAGGATTGTGAGGAGCAACTGATTATATACTTTGAGATTGGGGAAAATCAAGATTAAGGAAGTTTCAAAAGGATTTTCATATGCTAAAGAAGATTTACAGGATACCAGAGGCCTTGGAATTGTCAACCAAGGTTGTTTTTCCCTCTAGCAAGGCATGAAGACAGTTGGGAGGTTCCTGGAGGAACATTATACTCTGCCTGCCTCAGGTATTTGTCAATGGGCTGCAGGTTATAAGGACATTTAATTTTATCTCCACTTCCTTCTGCTTTTGTTTCCCACATCAATATTAGTAAGAAAATACAAGTTCTATAATCCAAAACTTCACTATCCTGTGCCTGTAAGGCTTAATTTATGCCTAGAGTTTATCAAGGCCAGTACCAAGCATGTGGAGATTTTCAACTAAATTTTTAAATGACTTGCCACATTTGTTTCCCTTTATTACATCATTCTGGTGTCTAATTCCTTTCCTATGATTCAGATCTTCTAGTGGATTTCTAAAAAGCCTAAAGTTGTGTATGTGGCATATTTTCAGCAAGAATACATGGGCCTTGATATCTTGTGGACTCTTGTTTTTTATTTACCAGGACTTCCAGGTGTGAAATCAGAAACCAAAAAAAATTTAACTGTAAGTTTATGCCTAAGGAATCATGCAGTGGATAGATAGCTGGGATTTAGGGAATGACTGTAATCGGTTTTAAAATCCTTCTGGATTGTTTCCATCTCTTTATGCTCTATTAAGATCTGTTCTTCCAAATCAGCTTTTTCCAGATGATTGACTATAATAGAGAGTACTCCCTATGCTGAGACCAGTGCTTTTTGTATTGAGATGCTGTACTCAAAAATTCATTTAATCTTATCTACATCATATTTATCACTGAAAGAAGCATTTGAGAAAAGTACAATAGAAGCTTCCACTTTAAAAAAAATCCGCTCTATAACATACTTTATATAAATCATTTCAAATTCCCCCATAAAATCAGTGATGCAGAAATTATCATCTTAGAGTTCCAGGGGCAAAACAGACTCACAAAGGTTCGGTAAAAGTCATATAGGTCTAGAACTTTTAATGCTTTCATTTTACTATTTACCTTGAGCTTTCCAAATGAAACAAAGTAATAAAATTTCCATCTTACTCTGCAATAAACATGATGTTAATGAAAAATAACCAATAAAGACCAACACAACTGGCAATACTATTCTTTATTTATTTATTTTTTTTTTTTGAGGGAGAAGCATGCTTTTTTACAGCACCTGTAAACAAGTCAGTGAAGTATACTATTTTGAGTTTCCCCACATATATATTATTATTTTTTTGGAATGTTAGAATACTACAACACCAACTGCATTACATAATAGTTACTGAAGGCAAGTCAGGCTAAAACAAGGGTAAAGTTTTATGGCTAAAAATATTCATAGCAGCAACTTTTAAAAGATGATTTTATTAAATCAAGTCATTGCACTTGGTCATTTTATTGCTACAGCAAAACAAGGCCATTACATTTTTAATGTTTTCATTTCTGATTTTAACTGATTGTCTTATTCTCTTCGTACATTTCAAGTTTAAATGCAAGCATAAAATGTTTACCAACAAATCAAGAGAGCACTTGGGTTTTTTTTTTTTTCCTGTGATCACAGTAAGAAGCATAAAAAAGAGAACCCCCATTCTCTTCCTATCTTCAGGCTTAAATTTTGTAAAGAGGTAACAGCTTTATAGTAAGACCAAACCACTAAATCTCAGTGGTCACACACAAGCACACACACAAATACTCCCAATATTGAAATACAAGTAGGAAAATTAGTAATATTATGTGTTTCAAAGAATAGCAAACCTGAAAAATACATTCACTAATAATTTGGCAATGACAGATTCCATGCTGTTCATCTCTAGTCTGTCATTTATACTCACTTATAGAAAAAAAGAAAAAACAATGATTTATCTCCCAGTAAAGGCTATTATCATTATGTACCATTTTGTGATATGAACTTTATGAATAAAAACAAAATTTCCGTATCAAGAGCAAATACCAGTAAATTGCTAGATTGAAGTAATCATTTTTTCCCTTTGAGTTTGGCTTTAAGAACTTTACCTTTTGGTCAAGGACAGAAAATAGAGCCACAAAACTTTAATTTTCCATTCTGAGGAACATACAAAGCAGATACTTTAAATGTATGTCGGCATTCATGACCACCTTCATTTTATGCACTGGTGAGAAAAATGACCAAGAAAAACTTTAAGAACACCCTGAAATCTGCTGGAAACTTCCCTCATCCCATTAACAGGGTGAGGAGGGGTCACTCCAGCCAGAAAGCTAGAGAATGATTTCTAGGATACAATGTTTTTATTTCTAAGGACTTTCATTAAAAGAAAGTAAAACCTAACTTTTTTAGCAAGAAGGAAATCATTCAACAAGTCATTTAAAAATATTAAAACAGGAATTAACAATTTTGTTGAGTAGTGACCTCATCAGAAAAGCCCAGAACTTTAAAGAGTTAAAATGTACACGCTCAATGCACAATCAGGTTTCCCCAAAAGCTCTAATAATGTAAGTTGTGATTTAACATTAAGTAATGACTAGAATTTCTATTATTTTCTACTTCAGTTCTTTTATATGAGACAACATGGTAAATTTTCATTAATACAGATTTCAGTATATAAGATTAAAACTTGAAGGAAAACATTGATTTGGTGGTTTAAAATAACACAAAATGGAAGCATGACAGGTGGCATCTGAAAGTCTTTGCTATAATAAAACTTAAAATCTATTTTTTTTGCAAATGAAAAGTCAATTTTTCTATTTTTAATATAAACCCATATATTTTAAGACATATTATCTATAGATAATAACTTTTAAAACGTTCACCTGTTCATAAGTGACTCTGAAGAAACTAATTCATCCATCTTATGAAAATGTATTTTGAATATGGTCAACTATATTTGGTTTTAAATAAGCTGTACTGTTATGTTTTATGATATACTAACACTCTGATACCTAAATGACAGCCTAAAATATCTCCACCAATTAGTTTGGTCTTTGAAGTAAATTACACATTGTAAAACCTGAGTATTTACATAATAATAATTTGTCAAAGTATGAAATCTCACACCCAAGTTCTGCATGTTCTGAATTTTGTTCTTCTCATATTACCATTATTAAAAATCAGAAAGAGGAACATGAGGAACTCACAAGATCACAAAATGAGTAATATCTGAGCCTGTAAAACAAGCAGTAAAGTACAGCAATAAGGCTGGTGTTTGCATATTATATGTGCTGTAGTTTCTAGGCACAAGTTAAGGGTTAAATTGACATTTTTAGTTTCTCAGACCTAATGAATTTAAAATATAGCTCATATTTTCCCAAATATAGTTAACAATCCAATACATTTTAACTAAATTCCTTTTATGAATCCTATAGTGCAAGCAATATAAAATATTCTAAAAGTCAAAGAAATTGTTTTGATTGTTTCATTAGTTATTACTATATGCTTGGGTGAGTAATCTGGTTTATAGCTAGAGTAAACTCCTATTTCATCACCCAGAGTATAAACAGCACTGCAAACAGGCACAACAGTGTAATCCTGGGTAAGAAGCTAAAAGTAAAAAATATATATATACAAAGTTTATATCCCTTATGTATTATGGGAAAAGTAGTGGCTATAGTTACTATAAAGCTAATTTGTCCCTCTCAAATAGTATATGTTACAGATTATTTGTAAAGATATCACCATATTTATAGTATAGATCTCTTTAAAAATAATACTACAAGTTTCAATAAAAAAACTATTGTGAACTTTCCTTTTTATACAGATTCAGTAGTATCTTCAAGCAAACTAAAAAAAAAAAAGTTTGCAATTCCAGCACATAAGAAATAAGGCCTCTTTTTTTTTCATATTGGCAAAACAAAATATATATATAAAAAAAAAATCCACCCTCTCCCTACTTTTCTATAGATTATAGTTCAAATACTCATATTTCTTTATCAGGACATCAGCATTTGTTATTTTTAAGTAATAAGTCAGTTGAAGTTCATAGTGTTGCTTCTGAATATACAGGGCCATGCCATTTCAAGACGACAGGACTGCTTTTTTCAGCTTCTCGATTTCCACCTATGATACAAAACATAAGTTGACAACAGATAAAATATCTTTAGTCAAGTTTCTTTATTTTATCCTATGTCATTAAGATCCAATCATACTTTGAAGCCTCCAGATTGATTTCCATCCTAAAATCCAACTTCCAAGGGTGTGATCAATATAGGGAAAGTTTAACAGAAGAACACTTCATAATACAAGTTCCTAAATGGCAAGAAACAATGAAAAAACAGCAACTACAATTGTTTCGGCCAGAACAGTGTTAAGTAAACAGGACTGAGAACATACTGTAAGAAAATCAGCCCTTCAAAGAACAAGAGAATCCTTGAAACCAAATTAAGAAATGTACAAGTACCTGTAATTAAACAAGGGGGGGGGGCAGTACAGAACTGTAAAAATAATAATAATGAAGGACCAGTTTAGTTCTATGCTTTATTTACTACTTACATGAAATTGGCAAATCCTTTAGCCTCACTTGGTCTCAATTTCCTCATCTATAAATAGTATGTTCTAGATTAAATTATATTTAAAACCCAGGAATATACCTAAGATCTACTCAATATGTTGGAAATACTTCCACCTTTAGGCAGAAGAATACTTCCACCTTCACTTAACAGAAATTCACAATTTAAGAAACTTAAGAGAACTAGGAAAATTCAATATATCACAATAATTATGGTCATTTAACTGACATATTACAAATCATGATGTTGAAGCACAAGATTAAATGCCATGCCAAGTGTGCCACATTAGCAAGTGGTACACAACTTGCACTGATCAGGTCTAAAGCTCTGAAGCCCAGGTTTCTACTTTTTCCAATTATTTAAGGTTTTGATTACCTCTGACTTTTCACAAATATTTAGGCCTTACCTTCTCCTGACAGTATCATCCCTGTCCCCAACGTTGCATATAAATAATACATGCTATGGCTAAACTTTGACAAATAATTCATTAGTAAATGATAAGCACTTTGCCACAGTCAAAATGTATAATTTCAGTACGTTCACAATCTCCTTAGGGATTCTAACTATTCAAGAATGGTTTGTTAATTCTAGGATCTTTCCTGATATTATTCTTCGGCTAATATGATGATTAGGTAAACATTTTAGTAGCACTGGTTTGAGACAAGTTTTGGTCTTCAGCCCGGATTGAGACAAAATACCTCTAATCTTCAGCATGATGTGCTATTATTATCTCTGTTCCAAAGACATAAACCAACTATACCAATTTCAATGAGTGAGGATGCCAAGAAAATCTGTGTGTGAGGGGGTAGGAAACATTGGTGAAAGGAGGAGTAGGGGACAGAAAGAATAACCCTGCACTCAATCAATAATACTCCTTATAGACTGCTGTCACATAAATTTAGATATCAAGCAAATATTTTTATTGCTAGAATTTCTCATCTAGCATTTTTATGTTCATTGTTCATCTTAGTCTTTTTATCATTCCTCAGTATAATTTAATACTATATGTTACCTTCACAGTTCAAAGTACTACTTTCAATCTTTAATACAATTTCTTTAAATGTATGATCTTAAAACTCTAATGTCTTATTAAGTGTGCTTTTATAAATACAAGGGTCAAACTTTCCCCATTAGGCAAAAATTATAATACAAATTAGTGTGAGGCTAAGTACCTGGATTTTGCTAAAAAACTGAATCAAATGAAATTCTTCAAAAAAGAAGTAATTCATTTGACTCTTCATCATGATTTCTGTGACAAATTAAATCACATATAGAAATTTAACACTGTATTAGTCCCACTTGCTTATATTACTTTATAAATATGAATATGTACATGTAGGAAATATAAGGAATAAAAACCAAGAAACTTTGTTTTTAATTTCTGAATTTCTACTGTGTTACAACGCTGGGAGTTTAAGACATTTTTAACATGTATTCTTTGATTTAACAAAAATTTATTAGCTATCTAATATGTATACAGCACCTTGCTTGGAGCTATGGACAAAGATAAAACAGAGCCATTCCCTGAACAGTCTTAAAGTCTAGAAGATGGGCAAAAATAAGTATGTAACGTCACAGTGGTAAGACAGAAAATTATTTTTCCTTTTCAAAACTAAAGGACATGAATTTGGAAGACAAAATTACTTTTAAATCAGAGGAAGATGAGTACTAACTTACTGAAGGTGACTGTTGAAGGTAAGCTTTGAGAATCTATAGAATTTATGCATGAGATGAAATAAAAGGAAAATTCCAGAAAATAAAGAGCAAAAATCCAGACAAATTAACTGAGAGGGACAACTGAGCATCAGCAAGCAAGAAATGAAAGATAAACTAGGACCAAGACATAAAAGACCTCACATGCTAAGTTGAGAAGTCTGAACTTTGTTCAGTAAGTAACAGAAAGTTCTTGAAAGTACTAAGGAAAGATTAATTTGAGCTAAGAATGAGAGAAACTTAAACAGTTAATTAGAAAATAAAGAGCATGGGAGAAGGACAGAAATACTAGGGAACAAAGAAATAAAGGTGAGGGAGTAAAGCTAACAGGCCTGAAAGTGAAGGGAATTAGACTGGAAGTACCATGTCTATAAGACTTGAAAGGTAATGAAGCAATCAGCAGAAACAGAAAAATCAGAAGAGCAGGAAAGGAAGATGACAGATGTAAAAGACATGCTAGTGGGATCCCTGGGTGGCGCAGCGGTTTGGCGCCTGCCTTTGGCCCAGGGCGCGATCCTGGGGACCCGGGATCGAATCCCACGTCGGGCTCCCGGTGCATGGAGCCTGCTTCTCCCTCTGCCTGTGTCTCTGCCTCTCTCTCTCTCTCTCTCTCTCTCTCTCTCTCTCTCACTGTGTGCCTATCATAAATAAATAAAAAAAAATTAAAAAAAAAAAAAAGACATGCTAGTTCTAAGTTGACAGTGGAACATCCAGGGAAGCCTAGCAGCTGGAAACAGCAGAAACTGGGAAAAGAGGAATCAGATTCAGATGGGAGAGGCACAGAGAGCTAATCAAGATACTTAAGGGCACAGGTAGGAAAAGAGTGAAGAGATGCAGAGAGAAGGGCCAACGGCAGTTCTGAAGGAGCGTTTCAGACAAAAGAATGCAGGATCACATAAACCAGGATAGAAAAAATGGCAATGGATTTAAAAATGTGAAACACTACAGAAACTGCAAAGTCACTGGAGTTGCCTTCAGTAAATGTAACATGTAAGAAGTTAACGACTGAATTAAACATGAAGAATTAGAGACCACAAACGTATACTTTTTTGGGGCTGTTTTGCAATAAATGAGCCTCAAATGAAAAGTGAAAACTACAGTAGATCAAAAGGGCAGCTGGATCTGAAAGGGACTTTGTTTTTTGAAAAAGGAGAAATATTGAATATTTTCATGGGAAAAGGGTAAGTGCCAATAAAGGGGATAGGATATGTCAGATGTTAAGAGTAAAAATGGTAGTTTGGATAATTTACCAAAGACCTTCATATATATTATCACAACTACTAAAGCTAAAAAAAGGCAGTTAAGTGACTCCCTCAAGTTCAAACAGTATAACTTAATCACTGAAAGCAGTTTCTGAAGTCTGGCTGTTTCTGTTAAAGGTCAGCTCCACTGGTGATTTAATCACTCTAAACCCTAGTTTCCTCATCCTTAAAATAGGAACAATAACCCTTACAAGTTGTTATGTGTGTCTACTGAGATAATGTACAGAAGGTGCCAAACCTGACTGACATATAGTTTAGAGCTGAAAGAAACAAGTATAAGTCAGAAGAGGGGCTCAAGGTGGGTTTTGTTGTTGTTGTTTTTAACCAAGTCTCATGTTCTTTCTGTTTCACAATGCTAACAAGAGAAATAGGGTAAGGAATAAAGCAAGGTAAAAACAGGGAGGTGAATGAGATACTTAAATATAGAATGGGAAACAGACTCTGAAAAAAGGCAGGAAACACTTCCTCTGAAATATGCAGAAAATAAGAATACAAATGAAGACCAACGTCAGTGAGGATGGAAAAAAAAGTTAAGGAAGATAAAACAAATGAAATTGCCAGTCATCAGCAGAGAGTGAAGATGATGACATTGTAGTTATAAAGTAAATGTTCAGTAAATGTTCAGATAAAAGAAGTCAACAAATTTACACCCATCCCATTACCACCTCACCTCCACCACTTTTGCCTCCAGACAAAAAATTATAAGAAATAAAAAATAATTAAAAAGAAAAAAGTTTAATTGTGGAAAAAAGAAGTAGCTCAAGAAAGCAATGCTGAGTGCAAAAGATCTAGAACTACCACTCTTACAAGGCCAGGACCATGTTTGTTTTATTTATAAATGTATACCTTTTGCCTCTCATACATTGCCTAAGAGAGGTATGCGCAAAAAATGTTTGCTACATGAATGAATGGAATGTGACAGGGAGTCAACAAGAGATTAATTAAATGGCTACCATGCAGTAGGGAGTGTCCAACTTAAGTAGGAGAGCATAATTTTTAGTGAAGCCAATCACCTAGCTGTGATGGAAAAACACATTTAGTTTACGCTGGCTAAAATCTCAGTGTCAGGAGAAATGAGTTACCTCTAGATTACTTCTCATTGCCTTCTCCTCTTCCAAATCCTTTCGTAGTTTTTCCAGTTCTTTCCTAAAAACAAAGTATTTATTACTGTTAAGTCTCATTTAAACAGTATTATTTGACTGTTAACAGGATCTCTGTTACCTGACATACCAAAATATGGGGAAAATTTTTTAAAGGAAATAGCCATATTGTTTGAGGAAAATTTCAAATTCACTAGTTGGAAAGGTTCAATACAATGGTTAAAAAAACTCAGCAATACCATGGCAATCCTATCAGTGATAAAGACATTTTTAAATGCTCATGATAAAATAAAGAAGTAATAACTGGCCTTTGAAGCAATTTTCCATATTCAATTATCATGCATTTCCCAGGGTAGACACTCTAAAGCCCTAACAATTCAGTAATGTCAAAACATGTCACAGTACAAAGCAAATTTTTTAATAGGATTACCTGGACTTTACATTTCTCTTTATTTTTTTTAATTAAACATTCCATTAAAATTATCAAACCAAAAAAAAAAAACTTTAGCCAACAATCCTTCCTCCTTAACTCATGTTTTCATTTTTCTGTGTTCCAGGCTACCTTTTTCTATAGTCATTTTCCCTCCACAGCTGTAAGTATATATTCCATACTGTGTCTTTTCACAAAGTATTTTAAAATATTTTCACACTGTTAAAATTATCATATCATATTTCTGATAATTGTTGCTCAAATATCCAGGCTTTTAGTTTGGTTAGCTGCTTTTTGAGGGGAGATGGAAAGAATAAAAATTTTATTTAACATCATGAATATACCAGTATATCAAATTTCTAAATCAAAGAGTAGGGACATTTTCAGCCTTTTGACATATGCTAGGAAAATACTCTTCAAGAGTATTATAGAAGTAATAGCTTGAAAAACACATGAAAATGCTTAGGAAGAAAAAATATATGAGAAAGAAAGGAACTTTGTGGTTTTACTGATTATAAAACTGTTTATATTGAGAATAGATTTTCTACTGTTTTCTACTGTTTCTACTGTTTCAACTGACTATAATTTAGATATTTCACTCGAATTTATCTAGTTTATTTTGGGATATGATAGAAAATCTGCTAGAATATTAGCTTTGTATTTCCAAAATGTTACCACTAAATAATGCTTCCTTTTTAAAATTATTCTACTATTCTGAATTTATTATACATAAATGAGGATCTATTCTTTTTGTTTAATTACTCATGAGAGACACAGAGAGGCAGAGACACAGGCAGAGGGAGAAGCAGGTTCCTGTGGGGAGCCGATGCGGAACTTGATCCCAGGACCCCAGGATCACAACTCAAGCTGAAGGCAGATGCTCAACCACCCAGGCGTCCCCAATGAGGATCTACTCCTAAAATATTTGTCCTGCTGTTTATCTATACTCACATTTTTATTGTTTTAAAAACACACTTAATATAAAATTTTTATGAAACACTGTTTTCCTTTTACAGGAACAAATCAAACTATGTATCTTGTTCTACAGATTACTAATATATTTTCCTGTCAATCTTTCTGTGTCAGTATCCTTCATTTTTTTTAATGAATTGTTCCAAACATTTTAGATTTTAATACTGAATGCATAAAGACTATTTATGTATTTGTAAGCTATAAAGATATAATTTTAAAAAAAAGCTAAGAACTCCAAGTCAGCTCAAGAAATATTACTAGTACCTCTGATAGCCAGAGTGACCCTCAATCTTATTTTCCTCCTCTCCTTCATAGGAAAAGTTTTATAGTCTATTTCATTTCCTTTCCTACCACATATACAAATATATCTTGAAACAACACATACTTTGATTTTATATGCTTTTCAAACTTCATGTAAATGAAATGATACTGAATGCATATCTGACTTGCTTTCTCCACCTTCAATGTTTTTCAGATGAATTCATGTTGAGACATGTAGCCACAATCCATTTATTTTTTTTATTGCTGTTCACAGTATAGTATTTCATTGTATCAACATACCAATGTGTTTATCCATTCTCCTATGATATTTTGCAGATTAAAAAAACTGCCATCTATTTCATTTTCCCAGAGGAAATAAGACTGAAAACACTCTTTGGAAAGACTTCTAAAATATCTGATATATGTTTTAAAATATAAATAAATCATAAATACTTTATTCATCCTATACCTAATTTAAGAACACCTACAGGTAATTTGTAAATGTAATTTATCAGTTTATTAAAAATAGCAGACTTGGTATCAAAAATATAAAACGTCAAAATCAATGAATTTGGAAAGTTCTCTAACTCATACATGGGTGGTGTTCAATAAATACTAGATGAATGAACTTCCAGTTTTTAATGTATATATTGTAGAATCTGTGAAAAAAAAAACTCTGCAGGACTCAGATAAATTGAAGGAATCAAGACAAGACCCAAAATGTATCAAATTACAAACACACAATCTCTCTGTATATTTATTTTGTGTGTATATAAATATGTTTTAGGTAGTCACTGAAGATAAATTTTTTGGTTTTACCTAAGATAGATTTGTAGAAGTGCTCTTCAACTACAAGTATATAATATTTTTAATCTCAGTATCGATTTAAAAAAAAAAGATGTACTTATTTATTTGAAGGAGTAAGACAGTGAGCAGGTGGGGCAGAAGGAGAGAATTTCAAGCAGACTCCCCAAACAGAGCCCAGTGTGGGCTTGATTCCATTACCTGTGAGATCATGACCTGAGCCAAAACCTAGAGTCAGACATCTTACCGACTGAGCTATCCAGGTGCCCCTCAATAGTATTAATAAACACCCTCCCCCCCCAAAAAAGAAAGAAATGATAAATTCAACTCAGAGGTATAATGGTTTCTGGCAATGATTTTTATACCAGATTCCATATACCATCAAATACTTTTAGAGGCTACAGGGGAAGCTGAGAAAAAGGAAGAACACTTGAACCCTCATCCTCAGATCAGCTGATCTTTGACCCGTTTTACTTATGGGGACTTCGCAGAATTATGTTTAAATGTTAACAAGTTCTATTATTACTTTATATTTTTAAAGTGTTAACATGTTTTAAAATTAAAATAACAGTTCTAGAAAATATCTCTACCCCAACATGAAATATGGATTTCAATTCTAGCCTCTGCCTTTTAAGAACTGTATGATCTTAGATTTACCTCTCTGAACCTTTATCTACTTCTTCAGCTAAAAGAAGAGAGGGGCGGGCCCTATTGTAGGTCAGTGACCTTTTACATTTTATTTTGCTCTAAAAAGCCACTTTCATTTAGGATCTCACCATAGACCATTACCGAAGTTTCAGAATTAAGAGAATGACTTTAAAAATCACCTATTCCTAAACCACTGGTTTTATTTATATATCAATCTCAACCCTAATAGACAGTGATCCATCTGGTTCCTCTGAAAAGTAAATACACATATAGATATACTCCAGATCCAAAATACAGTAACTTTTCCTAATATTTTTGCCTAATTAACCCATTTGACCAGATTTCTATCCTTAAATTTTATATATATATTTAATAAATTATATATTTATATAATTTCTATAATAAGCCTAGGAGAACAAGTTTTCTAATTCAAGTTTTTTTGCAGAGAGAAGAGAAGCACTATTATTGAAAATTTCTTTGAAAGCATACTTCCTTATACCAGAAATTTGTTAGTTTACATCTCTACTTGATAGAATTTGAAAGAATTCTTTACATATGTGTTAAGTAGTTTTCAACGAAGAAAACAAGGACTACTTACCCATGATCCTTTTTCAGTGCTTCTACAATGCACAGCAATTCAATAATCTGAGCTCTAAGTTCATCCAAAGGGTTTTTTTTCCCATCATCTGATTCTACTTTAGCTTTGATTTCTAATGGAGTTAAAAAAGCAGCTGTATTTGGTTTTGAAGCACTTGAAGGTGTTGAAAGGTACAGAGATGGCTAAAAATAAAATAGAAAATGTCCTTGTTTTATTTGTATTTATATTTATGTTTAGGTACCAAAAAAAATTATAGCAAGGAGGTAAGTAATACTTCAAGATAAATGGTAACTTTGAAAATGGAAAAAGCAGTGTGATATTCACAACTGGTGAAAACACCAAGGAACCAAAGAATAAACCTGAAATCACTAGGAGTTTATGTGAGAAATGTCAAAGGACTTATTAAAAAGTGAAAAAGAAAAGAAAAACCTATTAGATTTATCTTATGAATGGTTTGCCGAGCGGAGCACCTATAGGCAAGAATATATCAGCATTTTTTTAAAAAGATTTTATTTATGAGAGAGAGAGAGAGAGAGAGAGAGAGAGAGAGAGAAAGGCAGAGACATAGGCAGAGGGAGAAGCAGGCTTCATGCAGGGAGCCTGATGTGGGACTCGATCCCAGGACTCCAGGACCACGCACCACGCCCCGGGCTGAAGGCAGGCACTAAACCACTGAGCCACCCAGGGATCCCCTATATCAGCATTTTTTAGGTGTTGCTTTGTTCCTACACATTAAATAGTCATAGAATATCCAAAGAGTTTCACATAAAAGTAATCATGAAGAATTTAGTAAGTCCATGGAAGAGGCACTAAAATGAATCCATGGCCTGATGCCCTTTTTACTATTTCACTAAAATAACACGAAGTAAAATCTCAAATGACTGTTGACAAGTTGAGAGAATCAGATTAAATGCATCTGATAAACTGGAATAGTAACCAAATGCCCTTGGAATGAATTTGAGGAGGAAACATGAATTTCTTAAATATAAGGTACGTATAGGCTGCGATAATACCATCTTAAGTAAAAACAGCAAGAGTTTAGAAGTCTTAACCCCATGCAACAAATGGAAGACTCCACGTATACCGCCACTCATTTCAGTATATATTCAGTGGTCACTGTGGTGCCTAACACCAAGCTAGGTTAGGAGTAAACAAATGATGGCTTCTGGCCTAGAGAGTGTATGTTTAATGGGAAAATGAACAAGATGAATAGATCTATCCCTGCTTTAAAAAATATGAGATGTGTAACCCTTTTATTACTCATTTAAAGTAAACTCTTGTAAAAAATGAACTACAGAGGACAGTGTAACTTTAGTAACTCAAAAATTTAGTAAATGAAAAACTGCAGGAATTTTTTAATTTCTTAGCAGAAGAAAAAAATTTTATTTTTATTTTATTTATTTATTTATTTATGATAGTCACACAGAGAGAGAGAAAGAGGCAGAGACACAGGCAGAGGGAGAAGCAGGCTCCATGCACTGGGAGCGCGATGTGGGATTCGATCCCGGGTCTCCAGGATTGCGCCCTGGGCCAAAGGCAGGCACCAAACCGCTGTGCCACCCAGGGATCCCAAGAAATAATTTTTAAAAGATGCTTTAAAAATTTCAGTTTCGGTGTTCACAAAGAATTCTACAAATTATACACATCTTAGGCCATAATATCCCTCACCTTTGGAGAGTAGCTTGAATCCTTTTTAAATTCAGATGGCTTTAAGTTGGCACTATCTTCTTCTTTTGGTAACTTCAAGGTTTTTTCTGGGCTTTGGGTTGGCTTAACGATTTTTTTTAAAAACCAAGAAACAGAAAATACCAAAGAAGGAAAAGGCAATAAACATTTGGATAATAAACTGACTTTTATCACTGTTTTCAGTAGCTACTGTTCTAGATATTCCATTATTGTTAACAGGATATTACCCAATTTCAAGCTAAATAACACACTTGCATATCTTGAAGGTAAAAATAGCCTGCCTCTCTCATAGCAACAAAAATTTCTCTACTTCGGTAATTTAAAAGTACTGTAGCAGTTAAGAGCTAATATATTAATAATAAAGTACTACCAGCATTCCAGGCAAGGTATAGAAAGCACACAAAGAAGCTACACATTTAGATACACATTCCCCACAATTTCAGAGGAAAAGAATGTTCTTGTTCTTTCCTAAGGTGAATATGTACCACTCAATTCTAACTATTGTTCTTAGCTGGGTAGATTACAAGATACCCTGACCCCTTTTGACCCTGTGCTATGTGCTGATGGTCTCAGAACAGCTCTTTATTCTTGATTCTGTAACTTTCCATTGCAACCCTCTCTGAAATGAACATGACCCCACAGTTCTCTAAATGTAACCAACTATTTGCCACTTAAGTCTAATAGCTATTTTCCTGATTTTTAAACTTTGGTGGAGGCTATAAATTCTCCATCACACTCATCTTTAGAAGGATTCTGGATCTGCTAAATTCTTTGTGTTTTACAAACAGGAAGTTGTACTCACAGAATGTCCACCATTGAAGCGTCCAGGCAACCTTCTTCCAGGCATCTTCGGTCTGTTTGCAGTAAGATGTAGCAAGTTTTCTGAGGAAGCTATGTCATCAAAATTTACAATATCTGGAGAACAGAATTAAACATATCTCCTAAGCGATAACTGTATATTTTAAAAGATAAAAAAAAAAGTTTCTGGATGTCTAACAAATTATACACATTGAAAAGAATACCACTTAGGACTCACAAGTTAACCTGTGCTTTTCATATGCATTTGGAAAACAACACCCTTAAAAACAAACATCCTCTTTACCTGATACATTTTATAGCATAAGACTTTACTAAACAATAGAAAGTTCATGTTTCCAATAGAGAAACCTCAACAAAAGTTCTCATTGAAAGCTACAAATCTGAACCGGAAATTACAGTATCATAAAAAAGTTGTCATCTGAAGTTCTTGCTTGTAAAAAGAGATGACCTACTTCAACTCATAAGTAATGACAATATATCAGAAAACTAACACATAAAATATTTTAAATTTCAAGTAGTATCCTAATATTCAAATTTAAGGACTCAACTGTACCTGATACTTTCCAATGATAATTTAATGGATCTTTTATATATTTATGTATGTATATACATAGTATTTTGTAGATGGGACTCAAATTGTTCATAGTTCACTGAACTTTTGCTTAGACATCAGCATGTATAGGAACTATGAGACAGTTCTAAATCGAAGGCAAATAGGATATCAAAAAAAAATGCTACAAAGATCATTTACTTGTTTTCCCACCATCAAAGGCTGGTTGACCTTCGATCCAGTAACTTGGCTTAAAGAAAAATCTATGTAATTAGTATCTCTGAAACAACGGCATATAATACCTTCCCTTTTTCTAGATGATCCAGAAAACCTTGTTGAAAGAGGCAATCCTTAATTTTGAAGCCTAGAAATATCTAAGTGATACAAGAATCCTAAGGATAACTCCAGACACTTCACTGTCAATACAATCTTCCTTTAGCCCAGAATCCAAACTACAGATATTAAACACAGCTGAGATACTCTGTAAGGCAGCAGATATCTTTGGTTTAGTCTTTCAGGTACAGGATTAATTCTGTACAATCCCACTGCCTAGATGTTTATAAAGCTTTCTGTCAAATACTTAGATATACAAACTCAGTGATCTGTTATTTATTTAAAAACATCTAAAGATAATTATTATTATTACTGCCCTCAAAGCTTATTCATCAATTTTCACATTCAAAGTAATCAATTTAGAAAAAAACGTCAGGGGTAAAAGGACACAACGGTAAGGCATAGGAAAAAGTATCAGTGTTTGGCTTTGTGTTTTATAACAAATTCAAGTATTTGTTGTCCTCTGTTAATTCTTTTCCATCCTCCCATTCTGGAATTACTTTGTGTGATCTATCTTTATCTAGTATCTACTCACCAGGTTAACACATCACAACAGGCAATCAATCAAATGTGCTCAGCCTAATTTTGGTTGAGTCTTTTGATAATTGTTTATAAATAATTATATAACAAATAATAGAAAGAGACACAGTGGCTTTAATGGAAAATGCATTATATAATGTGAAAGGTCTTGAGTTTAAATATATTTTAAATATTTCATTTTATTTGCAAATTTCATAAAGAAAATCAGTATTTCGAAAGATGTTAAAATATGCTGTAATTGGAAGGGTTGAAAATTGCTTTTAACATTGATAAATGTGTACTGACAACCTATAAAAAAAAAACCTTGAAAAGTATAATCCAATAATTTTGGCCTGTGAAGATTATTTTCAAATGCATATTTAAGCAACATGCAGAAAGAAAAAGAAACAAAAACATAGGAAGGGATGAAGATAAATGAAATTGAAAGGATAAATAAATGGTAGATTTATAAATTATATATCATGCTCATGTAAAATGCCTTCCATATGTCCAGTTTTGGGCTACAACACCAAGACAAATAATTTTACTATTCTAAAACTCTCTCAGGTCCTCCATTTAAGGCATTAGGTTAGTAAAATAAAACAGTGCACATTTTGGACTCATGATATATTTGAACACATTTAAAATTTACCTAAGAGTGTTAACAGTGGATTTATACTGTACACATGGCATGAAAGGCATGACAATCACTTAACTCTCACAGTTACATTGCCACTCTGTCAGCCATTTTGATTTCTATACATTACCTAAGAAGACATGGAATTTTAAAAAGTCCAAATGAAATCTCAAATTTTGGGAGAAAATACACTTTAATGGTTTTCAATTTAATTTTTTTATCAAAATATCAAACTAATCAGGAAATTTTTCTCAACATAAATTTCATTTTATTTTCAAATGGAAAACCAAAAGGGTTAGAATAGACAAACATGTACAATTTTAGTACAATTACAAAGAAAAATCAATGTGCACCACCTATTTATATGGAATATACTGTTTTGATGTCTTTTAAAAATTGTCATCTTACCAAAATGGTGAAAGGTAGGATAATTTCCTGACACGTAAGAAGGGAAACATGGCAAACAGGCTAGGAAACAAAATCTGGAAAGAAAAGTCAAGGATAGGAATGTCTAGAAAAAAGACTAAATCAAAAAAAATTATTTTACAAAGCAGGAAAAAGGAACAGTTGTAGAATGAATAGAACCATTTCAATGTTTAGCATATACCTAGTGCAGTTTATCTAAACTTACATAGATGTGTATTAGATTTTAGATTTATGCTTTTGTCTTTAAAAAGAAAAAACAATTAGTATTAATTTCAATATACCATAAGTAGAAAAAAGCCTTTTTAAAATTACTAAACAGCAAGACAGCTTCAAAAGAATGTTTTAGTTAAAAAATTAGGTTATACTAATAAATATAACAACTCATTAATATAGTTATAACTAAAATTAAACTACCTTTCATCAAGTTTTAGTCTTCAGCATATGAAACTAATTACAACAAAAGAGGTAATTTTAATTATATGATATAATAAAAGAAAAACATGGCATAATATTTTAAGTAACTCACTATAAAAATACAACTTATACAACATTTAAAATCACATAATCCATAAATGAACCTTCAATTATGCCTTATATGATGCTCTATAAATAATTTTAATCTCTGCCCTTATTCTCCAGGTAAATTTCTACATTTTGGGGTGTGTTTTGTTTTGTTTTTGTATCCTCGTTTAGATATAGACTCATTTTTTATAGTGTCTACCACTCAACAGGTAAGCATCTTATTAGAAAAACTCTACCTAAAATTATTTCTGGATGAAATAAATGAATAAATATTGAGAAAATAATTCAAACAAAACTGATCAACTATCAAACAAAACAAAGAATGTTTCACTATTTAACAATGTTTTGGGATCAAATAATATATATGTCTAAAATTTCCTTTTAACCCCAAAATAATTTAGCACAGAAAAACAAGCAAAAGGATAAAATACTACACTATAAGAATATTTCATCAGCTGTGCTTTCTCAATGTAATAGGTATGTTACTACTAAATTTTCTATCTTTTAAGACTAATGTTTAAACCAATTTTATGTCCCAAAGAACTTACTATTTTAGAAATATTTTCACCATGTGAACTTTACAGTTAACCAGTCATGGCAGTGAGATTATCCTAAACCAATTTTTGATGAAGTGTTTGAAAAAGAGGGGGAAAAAAATTAAAATATGATTCTAACAACTATGCAATTTATAGTATTATCTTGTATTTAAGAATATATACTAAGAGACATTTATTTTCAAAATAGCTTATTAATGGCTTTATATACAGGATAATCATATCTGAGAGTAGTGTCAGGAATTTATATTCTTTATGGGTAAGAACAGAAACAGAATGAGATGGGATTAACAACAGAGGAAAGGAAAAGAAGGGAAATAACACTTTATAACATCTTCCTATCAAGTATTCTAGTGGGTATTATAGACATATCGGATCATTCAATTGTTATTTAACTGAGAAAACAGATTAAGAAACAAGACAATGATAAGTGAGCTATTAGCTCACTTATAATTATTACTTATAATAACTATCATTATTAAATTAATTTAAAACCCATGTTTTTAATAGTAAATAGCAAAAGTCAGGGTGCTTACTACTATTCTCATCACCTAAAATTACTATTTTATGTAATGAGACTCTAAGAAGATTTTCATGTACATTTTAAACTTTCTGAACATGTTAAAGGGCTAGTTTCATACGCTATTTTAGAAATTGGAAACCTCAAACTGTGTCAAAAGTATAAATTAAAATATGCTTTAACCTAATGCCAAATTTGAGGCTGTATCTTTGGCAGAACAGTGTTGTTTTTAAGGTGTCAATATCTAAAAAAAAAAAAAAAGAGTTTAAACATTTTTATATTACAAATCCTAAAAACATTTCAATAAAAACTTGAAATGAGTAATAGCCTGAGTTGAGGATCAGAATAGGAGCTAAATGCTATCAGTAGTCAGGCCTTTTGTCTTAGCATACCACTTGTGCTTAAAATAGTAATGGGATATAACACTTGCTCAGCAAATATTTCTAATAGAAACACAATTTCCAAAACTTACAAACATATTTTATTGCACTTTGCAGATAACTATTTTTTTACAAGCTGAAGGTCGATGGCAACCCTGCGCTGATCAAGTCTAACAATGCCATTTTTCCAATAGCATTATGTACCTCTGAGTCACATTTTCATAATTCTTGCAGTATTTCAAACTTTTTCATTACTATTATAAATGTTAGGGTGATCAGTGACCCTTGTGTTACTATGGTAACTGGAATGAACTGTGCCCATGCAGAATGTTGAACTTAATTTTCTTTGTTGTTGTTGAACTTAATTTTAAGAGTTGTATATATTCTTCTTTTTCTTTTAAGATTTATTTATTCAGGGATCCCTGGGTGGCGCAGCGGTTTGGCGCCTGCCTTTGGCCCAGGGCGCGATCCTGGAGACCCGGGATCGAATCCCACGTCAGGCTCCCAGTGTAAGGAGCCTGCTTCTCCCTCTGCCTGTGTCTCTGCCTCTCTCTCTCTCACTGTGTGCCTATCATAAATAAATAAAACAAAAAAAAATTTAAAAAAAGATTTATTTATTCATAAGACACACACACAGAGAGAGAGAGGGGGGGGGGGGGGCAGAGACACAGGCAGAGGGAGAAACAAGCTCCCTGCAGGGAGCCCGACTGGGGACTCGATCCCGGATCCTGGGATCAATGCCAAGCCGCGACACTGAGCCACACAGGCATCCCAAGAGTTGTGTATATTCTGACTGCTCCATGAAGAAGCTGTTTCCTATCTCTCTCCCTCTCTCTGAGCCTTCCTATTCTCTCAGGCACAATAACATCGAAATTGGGGTAATTCATAAGCCTACAATGGCTTTTAAATGTTGAAGTAAAATGAAGAGTCACACATGATCTCACTTTCAATCAAAAGCTCTGAAATGATTAACGTTAGGAAAGCATACAGAAAACTGAGGCAGGCCCAAAGCTATGCCTCTTGCAGCAGTTAGCCAAATTGTGGACACAAAGGAAAAGCTGGTGAAGAAAATTAAAAGTGTTACTCCAGTGAACACACAGATGATAGAAAGCAAACAGATTTATTGTTGATAGGGAGAAAGTTTCAGTAGTCTGCATAAAAGATCAAACCAGGCACAACGTTTATTTCCTTAAGCCAAAGCTTAATCCAGAGCAAGGCCCTAACTCTTTCTGTGAAGGCTGAGAGAGGAAAGCTGCAAAAAAAAGGTCTGAAGCTAGAAGCTGGTTCATGAAATTTAAGAAGCCATCTCCACGATATAAAAGTGCAAAGGGAAGTAGCAAGTGCTGATGTAGATGCTACAGCAAGCTATCCAGAAGCTAATTAATGAAGGCTGCTTCACTAAACAACAGATTTTCATTGTAGATGAAACAGCCTTATAGTGGAAGAAGTCCCATCTGGGACTTTCATAGCCAGAGAGGAGAAATCAACTCCTGACTTCAAAGCTTTAAAGGACAGGCTCTCTTGTTAGGGACTAATGCAGCTGGTGACTTTAAGCTAAAGTCAACACTCATTTACCATTCTGAAATTCCTAGGGCCCTTAAGAATTATGCTTAAATCTGCTCTATAAAAGGAACAAAAAAAAAAAAAAAAAAAAAAAGACAGCAGCACATCTGTTTACAACATGCTTTACTGAATATTTTAATCCCACTTTTGAGACCTAGAGTGCTCAGAAGATTCTTTCTAAAGAATTACTGCTCCCTGACAATGCATCATTACCCAAGAGCTCTGATGGAGATGTACAAAATCAATGTTTTTATGCCTGCATAATATAATACATAATATCCATTCTGTAGTCCAAGGATTAAAGAGTAATTATGACTTTCTTCTGACTTTCAGGTCTTATTATTTAAGAAATACATTTCATAAGACTATAGCCACCATGGATAATGATTCCTCTGATGGCTTTTGACAAAGTAATTAAAAACCTTCTGGAAAGCATTCACAATTCTAGATGCTATTAAGAACCTTGGGGGGATCCCTGGGTGGCACAGCGGTTTGGCACCTGCCTTTGGCCCAGGGCGCGATCCTGGAGACCCAGGATCGAATCCCACATCGGGCTCCCCGTGCATGGAGACTGCTTCTCCCTCTGCCTGTGTCTCTGCCTCTCTCTCTCTCTCCATCGTAAATAAATTAAAAAAAAAAAAGAAAAAAAAGAAAAAAAAAAAAGAACATTGGGGATTTATTGTAAAGGTCAAATAGGAGTTTGGAAAAAGTTGATTCCAGCCTTCATTGATTACTTTGAGGGGTTCAAGACTTCAGAGGAGGAAGTAAGTGCAGATATGGTAGAAACAGCAAGAGAACTAGAATTGGAATTGGAGACTGAAGATGTGACTGCATTTCTGTAATCTCATGATAAAACTTTCACAGATGAGCAGATGTTTTTCAGATGGAAACTACTCCCAGTGAAGATGTTATGAAAACTGTTGAAATGACAATAAAACATAGAGAAGGGGATCCCTGGGTGGCTCAGTGGTTTAGCGCCTGCCTTTGGCCCAGGGTGCGATCCTGGAGTCCCGGGATCGAGTACCGCACTGGGCTCCCAGCATGGAGCCTGCTTCTCCCTCCGCCTCTCTGCCTCTCTCTCTCTCATGATAGACATATCATGAATGAATGAATGAACGAATGAATGAATAAATAAATAAACCTTTAAAAAAAACAGAGAAGAGTATATAAACTTAACTGATAAGCAGAGGCAGGGTTTGAGAGGACTGATGCAATTCAGAAAAAAGTGCTACTTTAGGTAAAACATTATTAAACAGCATCACATGCTACAAAGAAACTGTTCATGAAAGGAGGAGTCAATTGATGAAGGCAAACTTCATTGCTACCTTATTTTAGAAACTGCCACAGCACCTCAACCTTCATCAGCCACCACCCTATTAGCAGCCATGGACATTAAGTAAGGCAAGACCCTCTAGCAGCAAAGATTATGACTTGCCAAAAGCTCAGATGATGGTTACCATTTTTTAGCAATAAGGTTATTTTTTAGTTAAAGTATGTACATCTTTTTAGTCATAATGCTGTTAGTATTCTGTCCCTATGTATGTCTCAGCTTCTCTAAATGTACTTATTTATGTGAAGGAACAACAAAAAAAAGCCCAGGAATTAGGAATTTACAAACCCTGTTTCACAAGACCTCTTTGTTTTTTTATTTTTTAAAGGTTATTTATTTATTTATTCATGGGGGGGGGGGCACAGAGACACAGGCAGAGGGAGAAGCAGGCTCCATGCAGGGAGCCCAACATGGGACTTGATCCCAGGTCTCCAGGATCAGGCCCCAGGCAGAAGGCAGCAGCGGTAAACCACTGAGCCACCCCCGGGGCTGCCCCTAATATTGAGATCTTTATCAAAACTTCTATTTCAGGTTTTTCCATTTTATAACTAAGAGGTATAAAAAAGACCAAGAGACAAAAATGACTGATGGGTTCAAAAATCAGTCCTAAAACTAAGGAACTAAAAAAATAAAGCTTGCTGATACACATACAGAGAGAGAGAGAGAGAGAGAGAGAGAGAGGCATAAAAGGCATATTTTCCTCAATCAGAAACAAAAGTATCTGGAAATAGAGAAGTAAAAATAATCTTCGATATAATCTAGTCCTGGCACTGATAATCATGTTATCCCTTTATCCTTCAACTTTTAAAACTAAAATGTACTCATATCTACCTGAGTTAGGTAGTATGGACACTGCATTATAAAGGGACAGAATATATCACAAATGGATGATCTTTTCATCCGTTTCTCAGTCCTTATGTGAATCAGGTATTTTGTTCATTTATCTTCTTTTAGTTTTATTTTTCTATTTTGGCTTCACAGATTTTAAACAAATTTCAATTAATTTCCACTGTATCTATCCACACATAAAATGCATACAAATTTCTTAAATAGTTTCTGAAAACTATATTGGCAAGTTTTTAAAAATGTACCAGTTTTCTACATGTTAACTTACCTGTTTCTTTAGAGCTCCTAACTGTAAATGAATCTAGGTCTACTGATTTTGGTCTAAGTGGTAATTGTTCAGAATCTAGCTTTGGTTTTGATAATGGCTCAGTTTCAAATTTTGATGAAATGGTAGATACTTCCCCATTAATCCTGAAATGAGAAAATCAAACATATGTAGAAATCACTTGTATGTGAATAACCATTTTTTAACATTGTGAATTAAAATAACACTAAAGATATTATAGCACAGTAGTTTTTCTTTCTGTTCCACAAAATTATTCCCATAAACATAAACTTCCACAATTAAGACTAATCAAAATAAAATCAGAAATGTAAAAAACAGCCTAATAAATGTGTATTCACCTAGTATGAATATGAAGTTAACATTTAACAGAGAATCATTAGAATCTATAGAAAAAAATCTGAAAAACAAATACTTCAAAAATTATTTTAACACTTAGAAAAGCAGCACAGCCATTTATGTCAAAGGAAGGTAATCAATAAACTAAATTAGGTAAGTTACCTAAGTTAAAATTACCTAAATTAAAACTAGGTAAAACTTACTTGGCTATAGGAGGTGGTGGAGGGACTGGTTTTTCAGGTCGCTTTGGGTATATTGTCCCAGGAGATCTCAATAAATTATTGGCTTTGGTGGGTGGAGTCGGCTTCTTAGGTGGGACTTGTGGAGCTGCTGGTTTAGAAGGTTTCTGTTCCAGTACTGATTTTTCATCTGATTATTTAAAAATATTTAATAATTAATCAAAATTATTTAGGTTTTTTTATTTCTTACAGCTAACATCAGGCTGGAAACGTGAAATAGAGACATTTGTGGATGTGTACACGGTTTTTAAGTTATAATTTAGTAGGTTCAAATATCTAAAAACACTTGCTTTGATGGGAAGGAGGACCACTAACAAGGTTCTGAGCAACAAATAATGCCCAGTTCTTATGTCTTCCCAGTATCCTTTGCTTTAAGGGGTGGTATACTACTGAAATATAAATCACATATGATTTTACTCTATGCAGAGGTCAATATTATCTACACTTAAACCCAGACTACTTTCAGAGACTAAATTATAATAAACTAGTGACATTTAATATACTTATTTAAATAATCATGATGACAAAGGAAATATCAAATGTTAAGAAAAAACCGGCTAGCCTAACTAATCACAGATGAGAAAATTACAGGCTTGTAATCCTCACAATTGTACTAGGAATGTATTAACACAATTTCATTTTTTCCAGTTTATTAACACTATGAATAATTCTGTGAATTAGATAAGAAAATATGCTGGAAATAAACACTGAGAACGATTTTAAGCCATGGTAATAAAAACAATTTTGTCACCCAAAAGGCATGGCACTATACATAATGACATACTTAGTCCCTGGATCTTTCCAGTACTAAGAACAAGTATTAAAATTGACACATATGTGTGACTCTTAAATACAGAGAACAAACTTGGTGGTTGCTGGAGAAGTGGGTGGGGGTAATGGGTGAAATATATATTTTTTAATTGACATAGATGCACACATACTAGATATTCATGATACAACAGTCAGCAAAAATGTGTCTAACACATATATGTAAAAATAAGAAACTCTTAAGTGCAATACTGAATAACTTTCAAAATTTACTTGGTCTTTGTAAAGAATGTCTATCACAGGACCACAAATAATTTCATGAGATTTCATATCAATCAGAAACTGATTAGGAATCTTAAACAAAAATTCCAAGCCATGGGTAAACCCTTCATTCAAAATTGTTAGATTTAATCTAACAATAATGAAAATACAAATTACCATTATTTTAGTTTTATCATTTATGTATAGCTTCCTTGGATCACTTGAAAATATAGCTTAGTTTATTAAAACCATGGTCATCATTTGGTACAAAAAACCACTTTGATATGGCCTTAAAGTAAACAATGCAGCATATAATTACATGATAATTATACCATCCAATTCTAACTATAAACCAACAGAGCCATCTGTATCAAGGATAACACTCAATCAAACGTAAAAGTCTAGAAAATGTTAAGAAAGATGTTTTTAGGGGATCCCTGGGTGGCTCAGCGGTTTAGAACCTGCCTTCGGTCCATGGCATAATCCTGAAGACCTGGGATCGAGTCCCACATCAGGCTCCCTGCATGGAGTCTGCTTCTCCCTCTGCCTGTATCTCTGCCTTTTTCTCTCTGTGTCTCTCATGAATAAATAAATTAATCAAAAAATAAAAAAAAGATGTTTTTATATAAAATACCAGGAAAAACAGTGAAGGTTAAATAGAAGTTCACTGATTAATTGAACATATTTAACAGATATGTAACAGCTTGAAACCAATTCAACTCTAGTTTATTCTAAAATAAAAGAACATATTTAAATATTCATGGAAATCAAAGGTGACAAATCTAAGATTCATCATTCCTGGTACAACCATGACTAAATCAACAATAATATGTTGATTTATTATATAATATATGATGGCAATGTATTTGGATACTAGGTTTTATTTACTTTTATTGAGATAAAATTTACCTAACATTTTAAAGTGAACAATTCAGAGCCATTTAGTACATTCACAATACCCTGCAACCACTACTCTATCAAGTTCCAAAACTCTTTCATCACCCCAAAAGTCTGGTTCCCATTGTTCAGTTACTCCTCATTTCTGTGGTATATCTTTTTACTTTCTTTGTAATGTCTACCTTTGGTGTACACAAGTTTTAAATTTTAATGAATTACAATTTAATAATTTTTTTTTGTTGTTGTCTGAGCTTTTGGTGTCAAATCTAAGAATTCACTGCCAAACTCAAGGCCATGAAGATTTAGCCCTATGTTTTCTTCTAATAGTTTTATTTTTATACCTCTTATATTTAGGTGAATGATCTATTTTCAGTAAAATTTTGTACATGGTATGAGGTTAGGGTTCAACTTCATTCTTTTTTATGTAGATATCCAATTGCACATAGGAGAATTTTAGGTTAGCTAGAAATTCATCAAAACCAAGAGGAAACTTAGATTAAAGGAAAAAAAAAAAAAGTATTTTAGTTTTCCAAATGCCCAAAGGAGGAAATATGTAAGATGGATGTTATGATAGTTTTAGAGAAAATAATTAACACGTGTATGGAAAAATTTTTTTTACTGAAAGCAGCTAAAATATACGGCAGCTAACAAAATATAGCAAAATAACTGAAATATGCCCCATCTTATTTATTACAGAATATAAAAATACATTACTAATGCTGTATGTACTAAGTTCATCCATTTGTTAATGCAGATGAGGATTAGTTCCCCACTTCATGAATAAGAACAGGAAAACAATTCTCAAAAAATTAAAAATGGAAAAGACCAAATGATCTAATAATTCCACTACTAGGTATTTATCCAAAGAAAACAAAAACATTAATTAATGTTTAACAATAATTAATTCTAAAAGATATATGCAGGGAATCCCTGGATGGTTCAGCGGTTTAGTACCTGCCTTTGGCCCAGGGCGTGGTCCTGGAGTCCCAGGATCAAGACCCACATCAGGCTCCTGCAGGGAGCCTGCTTCTCTCTCTGCCTGTGTCTCTGCCTCTCTCTCTGTGTGTCTCTCATGAATAAATAAATAAAATCTTTAAAAAAAAAAAGATATATGCACACCTATGTTTATTACAGTATTATTTACAATAGCCAAAATATGGAACCAACAATCTCAGTGTCCATCAATAGGCAAATGGATATGGAAGATTGAGGGGTGTATTTACACACACACAGACACACATACACACAGGAATATCATACAACTACAGAAATGGATACGATCGTGCCATTTGCGATAACATGCATGGACCAAGAGAGTATTATGCTAACTGAAGTAAGTCAGACTGAGGAAGACAAATACCATCCGATTTCACTCGTAAGTGGAATTTAAAACAATAACAAACGAATAAATAAAAAGGAGAATCAAACCTATAAATACAGAGAACTGATGGTTGCAAAGAGGGGAGGGATGTAGGGCGTTGAGCAAAACAAAAGAAGGTGATAGGGAGATACAAGGCTTCCAGTTATAGAATGGGTAGAGTAAGTCACAGAAATAAAAAACACAGCATTAGGAAGACAGTCAATGATATGGTAATCATGAAGTATGGAAACAGATGGTAGCTATGTATGTGGTGATCACAGCATAATGTATGAACTTGTTAAATCACTACACTGTACACTCGAAACTGATACAACACTGTCAACTAAAATCATTTTTTAAAAAACAGAAAAACAAGATAATCATACTGGCCCCAAGGCATGAGTGGATTACAAGTGCCTAATTCAGACTGAAAAATCAAATCCATTCTTTATCAATGGTTACTCAGAAATGTGTTAAGAGAAAAACACAGTACTATCCAAAAAATAACAAATGACTTTTTTTTGAGAGTGACCGCTTCTGCATGTGCAGTGTAAGGAATGGACACAGAGGAAGAGAGAGAACTTAAGCAGGCTCCACATCCAGCACGAAGCCCAACACAGGGCCCAACCTCATGACTCTGGGATCATGTTCTGAGCAGAAATCAAGAGTCGGATGCTTAACCAACTCAGCCCGCAAATGTATTCTTAACTGAGTCTACTTTAACATTTTTAGAAAATGTAAGGACAAAAAAAATTTACCCATAATTATCTTGCTGAAGCAGCTTAAATTGAGTATAACATACTTTCAGAACTCTAAGTACAAAGCTCAAGAAATTATCATCACACAAACACATATGAATAACTACCACTCAGGCCAAGTACTGAACATTAGCTACTTTAAGTTCCCATCATGTCTCTTCCCAATTACTACACAACTGCTCCTACCCAAAAGTATCTTTTTTTTTATGAGATTTTATTTATTCATAGACACAGAGAGAGAGGCAGAGACACAGGCAGAGGGAGAAGCAGGCTCCATGCAGGGAGCCCGACGTGGGACTCAATCCCGGTCTCCAGGATCACACCCCAGGCTGCAGGTGGCCCCAAACCACTGCGCCACCGGAGCTGCCCCAAAAGTATCTTCTAGCACTCAAGATCACTTACGCAGATTAAAAGTTTACATCAGTAAAATCGTAAAATTCATGTTGCTATATAGTATCTTGGTATGTGAATATACCTAAATTTATTTACTCATTGAACTGTGAATGGACATTTGTGTTGTTTCCAAATAAGAGACAATATAAATCATGCTATGATAAACTTTTCCCATTTGAATCTTTGGTGCACACACAGAGTACATTTCTGCTGGATATATGGTGAGAAGTGCCAGGGCTGGGTAACAGAGTATGAATATATTCACCTTAAATTCTTCAGATTAGATACAACAATTTGCATTCTCACCAACAGTATGGGAGTTCTGTTCATCTGAATTTTCACAAACATTTGGTACTGTTAATTTTCGTTTCAAAATTTCACCCATTTTGGTGAGAATCTTACCTTTGCTTTAACTTGTATTTCCTTGCTGAGTAATGAAATTGGGTAACTTCATACTCTGATGAGGTTTCTATTCAAGATGCTTAACTGCATTTTATCAAGCTGTCTTTTTCTTACTAATCTGCAGAAATTCATTATATGTTTTAAATATAAGTACTTTGTCATTTATCCATGTTGTAAAAAATCATTTCCTACTGTGTGGCAGAACTTTTCATCTTCCACATGGTGTCTTTGTAAAAGACATTAGGAATTTTAACATAGTCCAAAAAATCAATCTTTTGTCTTACAGTTAAT